ATGTGTGTCACTTTTGGAGCTGAGGTTAAATTTCAATCAACTTAAAGCTCTTCCTGATGATCTGGGAAATTTGGAGTTTTTGGAGATTCTTGCTCTGCAGTATAACAGAATCACTGCTTTGCCTACAACTGTGGGGAATCTTTTGTGCTTAAAGGAACTTGATGCCAGTTTCAATGAACTCGAGAGTTTACCTGAAAGCCTATGTCTTGCTGTCAGCCTTAGGAAACTGAATTTTGGAAAGAATTTTACAGACTTGCAAGAGTTGCCGAACTCAATAGGAAATCTAGAAATGCTGGAAGAGCTGGATATAAGTCACAATCAAATCCGGATATTGCCGGATTCTTTCAGATTTCTTAAGAAGTTGCAAGTTCTTTATGCTGACGAGACTCCATTGGAAGTGCCACCAATGGAAATAGCTAACCTGGGAGCTCAGGTACTCTATTGCTCAGTTAAGCTTTTCCATGTCTAATTAGCCTATTGTATAATACATATCAAAACTGACTTGTCTAATTTCTTTGCTTTTTTAGGCTGCTGTTGATTTCATCACTCAATCTGTTGAGCAAAGGGATCTAAAATTTCCGCGGCTGAAAACGAAGAGATGTTTCTTACTCCAGCTCTTTGCCTGTTGCTTCGGGACTGAAACATGACAAACTTATACACACTATGAAAATTTGAATACAAGCTCTCCCCACCATCCAAAGTTCGACCACACTACAACACCAAATTAAAATGTGAAAATGCAATCAAATAATTACATCCGGAGTCAACAGAGATGGGTTGGGAGAACAAATTGTTTCTGATATGATCATCATTCATGTACCTTTGATACAAGAGAAAAAACTCCTGTAATTGTGAGTATATAATTGATTTGCTGCACTTATGTAAATTCGACGTGCAGAATTGTTTGTGTTAAGAGATTTATACCAAATAAGTTACTGATAAAACAATATATGACACTGTCATCTCTTTTCTTAATTATGACAACAAAGTGGATTATTTTTGTGAGACAGGAGTGTTCCATGATAAGGTGGATGCTTAAAATATGGGAAGTGATCCCTAAAAGAGTTGACTTTTTAGTTAATTATTCAGTACTAGTTCTGTTCATCTCATTATTGATGGAAAGTGGTCTCCAAAGGAGTTTACTGACCATTAGAATTGTATGCCAAGGCACATGCAGCTGGTGGACTCATAAATTGTTCTCTCTCTCTCTCTCTCTCCTAGCAAGAAGCTCTTTGGGATTTCCTTCTTTCCAAGGATTCAGTTTATCATCATCACATTTCCACAATCTTCATGCATTCTGCTAGTCATCTCAGACAGCACAAAAGGTCTTATGATTATGAACTGTTCTTACAAAGATCATTGATATTATTAAAGGGTTTTATTTTGAGCTTATCTGCTAGTTCAGGAGACTTTTGTTGAGCAGTTGTGATTAATCATCATCTCTCTCGGAGCCTTTTGTTCCATCTCTCACCGAGCCTTTTGGGTATTTGCTGATTTACACCTCAAACCAAGGTAATAAAGGCTGTACATTCTTATTGGTTGTTTTTTCAATTTTTTCAAGGTTTTGTGGTTTTCCTTAAGATAAGTGAATTTTAGTTTCTGCTTGTTCGGCAGTATTAAAAGAGCACTTAACTGAAGATTCTAGGGACTACTCAATGTTGAAGAAATATGATTTTTAGTCTCTTTCAATCAAGAAATACTTTTTCAAATTAATGATTTCATTTATGATAGGGTAGTTACCTTCTTTAATCTTCAGGGGATATGCAAGTCTATAAAGCAGACTTCGGCAGTGCATCTAAAGCATTTTGCGTGGAAAAGTTTATCTTGTAAGGATGAGCGTGGGTGTGGTCTCATGTGTGTTGAATCAGCTCTCGACTTTAATTGTAGCTGAAGCAAAATTATTAGGTGGGCTTCGACAAGAGATTCAGGGAGTTGTTGTTGAACTTGAGCATATGAAAGCTTTCTTAATGTTTGCAGAAAGCCTAGAAGAAAATGATCATAGGCTTCAAGTATGGATTTTCGCAGGTGCGGGATGTAGACTATGATATTGAAGATGTTGTCAGTGAATTTCTACAGCATTTCAGTCACAATTATGGCCATGGTTTTCGTGGACATCTTCGAAGAACTTTAAACTCAATGAAGAATTTGCAATCGCCACCAAATCGCTCAAGATATACAAGCCATTAAGACCAGAATCACAAGTATCTCTGCAAGTTATGAGCGGTATCAAGCCAAGTATGGTGACCAAGTCTCAGTTGCATCTTTGGCCGTTAACAACTCTTGGCATAATGATGGAGATGCGGCCCTTCTTGTAGATGAAGCAAAGCTAGTTGGTATTGATCACCCAAAGCAGCATCTCATTTCTCAACTCCTTGACGGTGATTCCCAATTCAAAGTTGTTTCAGTTTTTGGAATGGGAGGGATAGGGAAAACTACATTGGCTAAAAGAGTTCAAGAAGATGCACATGTCACAAAAGCATTCCATATCCTTGCTTGGGTGACAGTTGCTCAAACTTGGGATATGAAGGAGTTGCTCAAAGACTTGATACAACAGCAATATAAGAAAGCTCGAAAATCTGTTCCTCAAGAAGTGGCCTCCATCACAAATACATTTGAGTTGAAAGAGCATGTTAGAGAGTTTCTCCAAGACAAAAGGTATCTCGTCGTATTTGATGACACATGGGATTCAAAATTATGGGATGCTATCAAATTTGCATTGCCTGATGGTAATTGTGGTAATCGTGTAATGATAACTAGCAGAAATGCAAACGTATGTTATGCCTCTAATGGTGAATTCCAAAGTTATGTCTACGACATGAAGCCATTATCATTTGAAGATGCTTTGACTCTTTTATGCAATAAGGCTTTCAGAGGTAGTTGTTGCCCTGTTCACCTGAAAAATGGTCGTTGAAAGAATACTGAAAAAGTGTGGGGGATTACCGCTAGCAATTGTTGCCGTCGGTGGGTTGTTGGCTTCAAAAGATAAAGAGTATAAAAGACCAGTGGAAGATGGTTGAAAGTAGCATTGAACTTGATCAAAGTGGTAACTTGGATGTAGTAGCAAAGATATTATTGCTTAGTTACAGTGAGCTTCCAGGCCATCTGAATACTTGTTTGCTGTATGCATTTTTTTTTCCAGAGGATTATGAAATCATAGAAGAGAGGCTAGTACGATTATGGATTGCTGAAGGACTTGTGGCTAGGACAGCAAGCATCACAGAATATGAGATCGCGCGTACCTATCTTGAGGAACTTACTCGTCGAAGTTTGATTCAGGTCACACATCCATCTCACGACCGAACTGTAAAAGGATATCATATTCATGATATTCTTCGAGAAATTATTCTTGCAAAGTCAAGCAGACAAAACTTTGCATTCATAGTCACTGGAGAATGGAGTAGGTTGCCTGAGAAAGTTAGACGCCTGGCAATCCATAATTTGAAATCCGATACCACTTCTAGCATATGTTTCAAATATCTGCGATCTTTGGTGATATTGAAATCCGAGGAACCTTTGGCAAAGTGCTTATCTGGGTTGCTACACAGTGGTTCTAGACTAATGAAGGCATTAGATATGCAAGGTACACAACTTGAAGGAAATTCCAGAAGAAGTTTTCAAGTTTTATCATCTCAAAAGTTTGAATCTCCGCGGCACAAGAGTGGAAACCATTCCGAAGTCCATTGGGTCCCTTAAAAACTTGGAGTTCTTGGACCTACGATACACGAAGGTAACTGAGTTGCCTGAGGAAATACTAAAACATAGAAGGTCTTGTTCATTTACAAGTTTTTTCCCCAAAGAGAATGTGTGAGTTCAGATGTGTTTATTGGATTTAAAGGTCCTACAAACATTTCAAAGTTGGTGTCTTTAGAATGGTTATCGATGATACAAGCAAATGAGAACATAATCGAAGAGATAAAAGAGCTTAAGCAATTGAGGAGGCTTGGCATTACCAACCTAAGAAGAGAAGATGGGAAACAACTCTGCTCCTCTCTTGGGGAGCTCTCCAATCTTGAGAATTTATATCTTTTTTGCCGCAGAAGATCACGAACTACTTGATTTGGAAGGTACAAACAATTCATTGTGCTCAAGTCTCAAAAGTATATATGATGATGAGTCCAATAGTGTACTCCTTTAGGTAAGCATTGAAGGACTGAAGATTATCAGTACTTTATTAATTAGGCACAATTTATACTCACATTTGATCTCTTTTTCACAAGTGTTTGATTGTCAACTTCACTAATAGTTTGGTTCTTTGGTGAGTTTTTATGTTGTTACAGAAGAGTTGAAAGATACATTTTCTGAATGAAAGTTGTGCTTGGAAGGAGAAAAGAATAGTGGACAGAAAAACTACATATGCCCTGATAAAGAAGACCTTACAAATCTGTGTTTATGCATGTGTATTGTGTAATAGAGTTTACATGTTTCGGAAGATAGTGCATTAGTAGGGAGATTATCTTCCATACACCAGATGCATTTTTATTAATTTTTTTGTAATGTAATTGGATTGAAGGAAGGAACTGTCGAATCCAATATCTGATCACTTTGATGTAGTTTTACCATAAATATACTCATATTCACTGTTATGCACTAATATTTGTTATGCCCATGTGTAATACAATTTCTGCAAATATTATACTTTACCTTGTGAAGCGGATAAGGCATGTGTTGGAACCGCGTCGATTTGCAAAATTGACCCATCTTTGGAGTTAACGCTTCAAGCCAAACTACCAAACTATGTGTAATGTTTCCAACTATTGATATAAATACTTCTTCATTTAAAATATATATATAAAAAAACACAAACTGTCATGCGGGATTTTTTTTTTTTTTTGGGCCTAAATAAAAAATACAAACAACTTTACAGCCGTTGAATAATACAAACAACATGCAATTGTTTTTTTTTTTTTTTTGGGATGGAAACCTGATTTTTTTTTATTTTATTTTTTTATATATTTGCAGGTTGTTCACCAACTAATCCCCTGATGAAGAGGGAAAAAAAATGAAATTAAAAAAAGAATCATTTTTTTTTTCATAAAATGAAAATGCCTTTTCTTTCCATAAGCGTAAACGATGTCGTATAGTAGATTAAGCAAACCAAGCTCCCCAAAACTCCATTTATATTAAGCAAAGCTCAAAACTTTGGTGACTCTGCATCCCTGCCCATAGCACAACCTTCATACACTCAGCCTATAATCTATATGCACTAAAGGTTCTCTCACCCCTTTTTTTATTCTTCTCATCTATCAGGTGTATGCATAATCATTTCTTTTTTTGTTAATTTACAATTGAATTTATATACATGTATGCATGTAATCCAGAGAAGGAAAAAAACGGTAAAGATCAAATTTTTATGCCCATCATTCTTAAAGGTTGACTGTTAAAATTATTTATTTGTTTATTTTCTTTGACCCATTTTGTGGTTAGATGAAATGAGAAACATTCTGTGATGTTTCAGCTTTGATTCTTGCAATATTGAAGTTTTATTTGATTGGGTTTGATGCTTTCTTTAAGACTTGGAAGCTGTTTGAAACATGGAGTATAATTATCCTTTTTCCTTTGTGTAATTGGGTGTGCCAGTAGACTGCTGGAGTATATAAATACTTTTTCCTCTTTTGTGTAAAGGGGTTGAAGAAATATACAGAGAAGAGTCTTTATTAATATATGCCAATCCTGCTGAATATCTTGATGCAACCTGGTGAAGTCTTCATGTTGGTGGATTTTTTTGGTTGTATGAAACTTTTGAATCCCTCCTGTTATTTCAGGTTGGCAAAGTTGGAAATCTGAGAATTTATTTATTGACATACTAGGATGAATTCATTTGATAAGTCGATGATACCTTATAGAATTATATTGGATATCCTGAAGTTGAAGAAAAGAAGAACAAACAGTTTTGCTTTTGGAAGTCTATGCTTCAGTACACTATCAATGAAGTGCACAGAATGCTGCTTCTCCAATTTTGGATTAACTACTCTTGCATTCATTTGACTCGGTTTTGATATTGCACTGTGATTAGGTTGTTGTGCTTTGCGCTGTTTATTTTAAATGCTTTCTCTTTTCATGACACGTCATAATGATTCCTTTCTGGATTATTAATTTAACTTCATAGCTACTGTGGGAACTGGACTGATAATCTTTGGACAGTCATTACATTGCAGTTTCCTCAGCTTGACTGATTTAGGGGAGGAAGTTTGAATCAACCTTCCCAATGAATACTGCTGGAACTAGTTCAGATCAGAAAATGAAAGTTTATATATGGGATATGGACGAAACTTTGATTCTGCTCAAGTCTCTCATAACTGGAACATATGCGGAAGCTTCCAATGGCCTAAAGAATGTGGAGGAGGGAATGAAGATCGGGAAACTGTGGGAAGACCTCATTCTTCAGATATGTGATGATCATTTCTTTTATGAACAAGTACGTAGTTGTTTTTGCTCTATAAGAAATGCTCTCACATGCTGATTTTGGTTTACACTTTTGTTTTTGATTCTTGTTCCATTTTATTTCCCGCGGTGTTAGTGATTTGCTACATTGAATAGAATGTAATTTGCTGCTTTGAATAGAATTTGAGATACATTAATTCATTCAGGTTGATTTTTGCAATGAACCATATTTAGACGCGACGGCAGATTATGATAATGGGCGGGACCTTTCAAATTATGATTTCAACCATGATGGTTTTGGGAACACTCCTGATGAGGAAATCAATAAAATAAAACTAGCTTACCGGCATCGGGTGATAGCTGAAAGGTACAATAAGGTACTAAACAGGTTCCTTTTTACCGATTCAGTCACGTCTTGGTCCATTTCCTTTTCCTCCTATGTTCTTTGCCTGGTACCTGTTCATTTAAATCTACCATTCATCAAAGTCTAATTCACCAAAATAGTGAGTGTTGAGGCTAATTTCATATGTAGTACTTATTTGGCTTTCCCTTGTCTTGAGTCAAATTGTAGTCCTATATCTCAAGCCTTAGCCATTGTTTAGTACATGTATGCGATACCTGAAGCACATATACGTATGCTTCTCGTTTTCATGAACTCTCATTTTTATCATTATTATTCATTTTTTGGCTGTTGTTGTGCTTTATATGAAGCTGCTCTATTGTATGGATAATTTGTTGAACTTTCATTTAGACTTTTTTTTTTGAATAATCAGTAGCACATGGCATTAAGTTTATTGATCATAAAGCCCCTGGGCGCAATTGATGAAATTTATGCATTCACTTGTCAGACGAGGTTAAACCTCCCACCTTTGGTTTGAATACAACAACACCTTTGGTTTGAATGTTGGGCAAACATGTTAATAACCCATACCATAGAGCAGCATCTTTCTCCGTACAACAACATCTTTCTCCGTACCAAGACTTGCACCTATGTTGTCTCTTAGATCCATAAGATTTAAGGAAAAATTAACTTATAGAAAACGAAGAATTGAAACTTTTTTTTCTGAGTTCTCAACCTGTGACTCTACAGAATGTGTCTTTTTGTCATGCACCAAAGGTTATAACTTTCTCTGCCTATAATCTCACACCAGATTTAACTTTACATTTACTTTTCCAGGGTTTACACAGCCTTCTTGATGAAAATTTGTTAAAATCCTGGGATAGTCTGTATGATTCAACTGACAGATATACAGATACATGGCTTTCTTCAGGTAATATTTTTCAGTGACTGAAAATTGTTTTTCCAGTTTGCCACTTGCCTGACTTATATATCTTTTGTGTTGTTGATCCATCTCCCTCTTTGATGCAGGAAAAAATAAGAATTAGGGTTTAAGAATTATTTGGAAATTTTAATTTAGGGAGGTTTTAGTCTTTTACAAAATTTTTAAGTCTTTTAAATATTTTCCTTTTTTAAGTTTAGGGTTTAACTATAAATAGGGTTGCTGTACGTTTACAGAGTGGTAGTTTTTATTGATATATTTGATAATTGATTTCAGAACTGCGAGTTCTCTTTCACGCCTGAGTGCCAGTGTTATGGTTTTTATTGGTTTTTGTCCAAAAACCATTGCCTTTGTTCATGGTGATCATGAATCAAAGTGGTGTTCCTTCTTTTCATGCTTCCGCCCGCATAACTCTTGCTATTGTTTGCAACAATTATCGTCAGATGAGTTGTGAGGCAAAGAACTGTTTCCCCGTGATTATTGGAAGGTGAACTTTGGGGATAGGGATGTTAGCACACCACTATGTAAAGAAAATGATTTTTTCAAAATTTTTGCTGCAACTATAGTAGTGCTTCTTTACGTAGGCTGCTGGCAATATATATTTTCCCATCCCACAGTTAGTTTGACTTGGATTGGATTAATTTATGTAAAGTCATGTTTCACATATTATCATTTTTATTTAGCTATATTATATTGAAAAACTGCAAAATTATTTATCAAGTATATGCTCACTTCTCTACTTTCTTTCCTTCTTTTTCTCACTTTGCTGAAAGCCAAGTTAATTTTGAATCCTATATCAGTAACAAAACTTAGCTAAATGTTTCCTCAACTAATAATAATCTGGCTCCTCCCATGGCGTGCATGTATCTGCCTATTTGATAGATTAGACTAAATGTGGAATACAATTTAGCAGTGACACTCTTCTATAAGGTCTGCTTCTTTTGAATCAGGTGGAAACTGGCTATCAACTTTATCTTCTTCATGTTTGAAATGTTTAACAGATTGGCTGAAGTTAGATTTAGTGTGTTTGAGATGCTAAACATGTAGCCACTTCTGTTTGTCCTCTTTCATTGATTACACTGATGTGATACTTATTGCTTACTTGAATTTCAAAGCATAAATCACGTGTGCATATCCAATGCAGCTCGCGAGTGCCTGGAACAGTGTTCTACTCCTAGCAAAGACCTCAATCCCCAAAGAGTCTCAACTGATGGGAGGGATGGAAATGTACTGGGATATCATGATGTTAATGTCCTTGTGACGTCTGGTGCCCTTATTCCAAGTCTCGTCAAGTGTCTACTCTTTCGTGTGGATGGTTGCATTGCTTGTGAGAATGGTTAGTTATTTTCTTCTTCAACTCTTGAGATTCTTTTTATAGATGATATGCAAATTGTGCATACAAGAGATCTGTACGGGTTCCTTTTTCATTTTCTTCTTGTAGACATTCTTTAAAATGGACAGTAAAAGGAATGAGAAATACTATGAGACATTGTATTCACGTTGACTGATGCATGACATTGCATTATTGAAGATTACTGGGTATTCAAAATGACTACTGCTAAGTGCCCATTATATATTTTGAGTTCTGTACAATTACTTGGCTCTTAGAGTTCACTTATATTTTTTTTGGCTATTGGTTTAGTTTTAAAGTTAAGAGACTTAACCAAGAGGATGCTTGACCCAAAAATGTTTTAAAGAGAGTTACAGTGTTACAATAATAGTTAGGAGGTCCACCGCATATTATTAGGGTCCACTGTGGATTTAGCTGCAATGCTTGTCATTATGAAATTGATTATGACTTTTCATTGTGTCAATCATTACTCAACATCGATTTAGTTTGAAACTATATGAGACGTGAGGGACAATTCAAAGTTACAAATGAATGTTAACTTTCTGTATCTTAGACCTTAGCTCGGACATGTTTAAAAAAGATCATAGACTGAAGCGAGAGCTCATCAATTTGAATGCATTGGCAGTTGTCTTGGAAAGTTTGTCAGTGCAAATTAACTTTGTGGAGTCGCTCTTTATGGAATCAAATTTGAAATTTGTGGAAGAGCTGAGCCATTTTTATGTTTCAACTTGATATGCTAATTAGTTGGTTTACATGAGTGGAGGTGTTTATTTGTTTACATGAGTAAAGATGTCCGCCCAGCCAAACATGTAAAGAAGAGGAAAAATAGATCAACAAAGCCTTTGGTTATGAACATTGTCAATAATGTTAGCAATGCTTGAAACCTTACACTTACCATGTGCCAAGAAAATGACGTCTTTATATTTGTTAATTCCTGTTGTTGTGCATTATTTTACTCAGCCAGTTTGTCCCTTCGTTTTCTTTAACCGTCGATGTTCTCAGTTGAAATTAAAATGGAATATAATGCATGACTCCTGTGTTCTATTGTTTCTATTACCTTACACGTCTAATGTTCCTCTTGTCATGACAGTCTACAGCTCATGGGAAGTTGGGAAGCGCCTTTGTTTCTCACTAATTAGGGAACGGTTCAGCAGCCGAAATGCCCAGTTTTGTGTTATTGGGGATGGTGTGGAGGAATGTGAAGCTGCGGAAGCAATGAAATGGCCGTTTGTTAAAGTGGATCCATTTTCAACCAGATATCATAGGTTTCCAGGCCTCAGCTTAAAAGACATGGGTCTCTATCTCTCTGTTGTATACGGAAATTCTGATGGAGACAATGATGAAGAGTAGGTCTACTTATCCGAGGCAAAGGAAGTAGCGCACCATAATTCAAGCTCCAACTTCCAACATGTATTGTACAGTAAGCAGTTTGCTTGAAACCTGAGCTCCATTTGACTGCAATTAGAAGTATGAAACCTAAAATCTGATTCCATTAAGCTGCTGCTTTTAACATTTTTTTTTTTGGGTTTTTTTTTTTTCGAGATACTGAATGTATGAGTTTCTGTTTTCTGTCTTTGTACGGGGTTTAATTCTTTGCATGAATCACCGGCAATTTCCATACATAGAACAAAAAGATACGGAGATATCGGATCACCTTGTCGCACTCCTCTAGTGGGAAAAAACACTCATCACACAGTCGTACCATTCCACAATAGTTGCATGGAAGCTGTGCACACACAAGGGATACTGCATGAACAAATTTTTCCGGATATTTGGCGAGTTGGAGTAATTCCCGTATGAAACCCCAATCTAAGTAGTCACAAGTCTTTTCCAAGTCGATTTTTACCACCATCAAGCCTTTCTTTCCATTCATATGACAGCATTGAGTGGACAAGCTCCTGCACCACCACTGTATTATCCGTTATTTTGACGACCCAGGACAAAGCCGGATTGATCAAACTAGGTAAACAAGCCTTCATAAGTTCAGCCAAACTCCTTCATCATAAGCTTATGGACAAATAACCCTAATGATCGGTTGAGTAACCATACCCCGCAATCATCCAGATGCCACCTGATGAATAAACACAAATGCCTTTTATTACTGAATTTCACACATTTAAAAATGGATATGATTATTTTTACGATGAGATAGGATGTTCTAAACTCGTTAAGAATATCCAATAAAAAACCGTTCAATATAAGCTTTGCACTGATTATGATTAATTCTAATAAAACCATAAAACAAAACTAAATCAAGACATAATTTGTTTTTATAGAATAATTTTGAAGTACACGTACGTATTTGGCAAATTATTATTGTGGGAAAATTTATAATAAGATCAAGAACCAAATTAACAAGACTCTTCCCTCTTCCTTTTTTAAATCCAACAATCAGCTACGAAGCTCTATAACTATTAAGTACAAATATATGGTCTAACGTGCTGGCATAGAAATATATAGAAAGGAAACAGATTTCGTTGTTCATAATTTGGGCACACATAAAATTAATTAGTTGAAATATAACAGAAATGGTTCACATTGTAAATTTTAGAATGACATTATCTTTAGTACAATTTATAATTTATAACATAGACTATTTTTTCAGACCGATGAAATAATATCTTTCACCGGAAAAAGAAAGAAAAAAGAGTTTGCTGCAATACAAAATAATATGGGTGTGGGATAAGATAAAAACCGAATCTTGAAACACGAACTTAAACAATGCAGCAATGTATCATGTGTGATATCATTTTTGGCTCAATAATTCTCACCAACCCATTAATGTAATTAAGAACCTGCCCGCGTGATTACTAAATTAGATAAAAATGTTTTTTTTTCTTTTTGTTGGGTTATGAACTCATAATGTTGCTGCCAATCCTCTGTAATTGATTCTTAAGTTAATGAAATTTCCATCAAAACAAATTGGAAATGAGAGAAACAATCAATAAAGTTTATACAGTGATATATCACTATTCCGACGCGAGATTCTCAACAAATGGATCGATAATGAAGAAGAGTTGAAATAGTAATGTGTAGTGCTCAAATAAATGAATAATGGAGCTGAGTAAGGGACCAATGGGAATGACAATTATGTACAGTTGTTGGGATTAACTTGGTCGGTCAATTTTGTTGACCATGCATGATACATATAGCTTAAGTCTTTCCCTCGGTTCCACTCCAATAATTCATATTATAGTTTGTGAATAATATTAAAACTAATATAATTTACAAATTATAATATGGATTATTTTTTCCGTCTCAAAATAACTGTTTAATTTTTATTTTTTTCATATAAATTGTAACGTAGACCATATGAAAAAAATGTATAATTTCAATTTTTAGTATGATTACATGAAAATCGAGTATCCAGACTGAATAATTATTTTAAGATAGAGAGGTATTTTTCTTAGGAAAAAAGAAGTACAATAATTTGATAATCTATAATTCGACTTGTAAAGATGTGAATTGTGCATGCATCCAGTTTTCGTATAATTATATTAGTGTATTATTATTGAAAGAGACTCTACGCATTCATACTTCATATCTCTTTCTGCACATCAATCCGATACTTGAAAGGTTAATTTTCTAGTTACAACCTGCAATAAATAGCCCACCACTCACTTTGGTGGAATTCATTCATATGTACAAATTTGAAATGTGACCGTCATCGTATCCTTCCAAACTCATAGGGCAAGAAACTTAGGCTAGGGAGACAAATTTCCCCTAACGTCACTAAACATGAGAAACATTAGCTTTGAATAATTCTTTTTGTGAAGTAAACATCATAAAAGGGAAAAAAAAGTAATAATAGAACGAGAATGAGAAGATGAACTTTAATGTGATTGAAGAATTCAAATCCTGTCGTCTTTGGCCCTCGCCGTCGGGTAATTGGATTGCAGTCATTTATACTCTTATTATCTAGAGATGAGCTAGTAAATAATGAAAAGCAGCCACCAAATAATTCACAATTGTACGGTGATAAACTTTCTTATCATCGGTCATTGAATGAAATCTTCGTGTTGATTATAAAAAACAACAAATGGAAAAATTTGATGGCAACATGAATTTAGATGCACTAAGTTTAGATTAGTTATTACCATTTGGAGCAAGATTTATGGAGACCGGAATTCGGCATCAAGCGTTTAGTGGAAAGATTGTACCTCAAATATCATTATTTTCTTCGTTCCGACGAGGGACTCGACATTTAGCATTCACATTTCCATCTTACTAGCTAGTTCTATAATGCAATGAAACTTACTAGCATTCCATTATATGTCGACATTTAGCATTTCCGACATTTATCATTATTAAGTTTTAAGTCGCAGAACCGGAGGTTACCTGGCATTGGTATTGGTAATGGCATAACCAAAAGGAGAGTAGGAGAGACGGTTACGAGCTGGACTGGTCATATCATTATCATATAGACTCAAGTTAAATACAATTGCTTTGATTTGGATCAAAGGACAAAGACATTGTTGAAAGTAATTATAGCTAAGTTCTTTGACAGAGAATAATAGAAGTGGGAAAAAAAAAACATGGCTCTTATATCTTTTAACAATTATTGATCATGAACGCAAAACTTTGGGCAAGTCTGATCGTTTTTAATAACTTGTTTGTAGTGTTTGTTAAGATTCAATATCGACTATTTTTTTCAAAAGGAGATAATAATAAAGTGTTTGAAAAAAATATTCCAAACTGTCATTGTATCATAATGCATTATTATTAGGTTGTTCGCCCTAGACAAGTAGCAAGTTTTGAGTTCCTGGCAACAGAGATCTACAAGTATAAATAGATGGCGTGATTGTAGGGATTGGAATACGAACATAACGGTCGGAGAATCATTTGTTCATCAGAATTTCAATACTCTAATATTAGTTAGTTACATACAATGGCAGAGTCATTTGCAATGAATGGTGGTGATGGCATGTACAGCTACACCAAAAATTCTGAATACCAGGTAAACAATGTTTCTAATTTAATCTCATGGTCGTACTTTAACATGTGATAACAAATTAGACAATTATTATGGAACGAAAATCGTAACATATATATGCACTTAATTTATTTGTCTCTCTCCCTGCAGAAGGAAGGCTCAAATGCGGTTCACGAACTAATCAAAGAGGCAATAAGCAAGAGTTTCGACACAAAACTCATAGCATCAATCTCCAACAACAGATTCTGTCTGGCTGATTTGGGATGCTCAGTAGGACCAAACACTTTCTTCAACATGGAAACCATCTTAGAAGCCATTAAAAACAAGCACAACAACAATAACAATATTAATGTCGGAAGAACCTGCGACACCACCAAGCTTGAATTCCAAGTGCTGTTCAACGATCACGTTTCCAACGATTTCAACACCCTTTTCGCCAACATCCCGCCGGAGAAGGAATACTTCGCGGCCGGAGTTCCGGGTTCTTTCTACGATCAGCTTTTCCCATGTTCTTCCATCCATTTTGCTTATTCCTCTTACTCACTTCCATGGCTCAGTAAGGTGCCGGAGGAATTGCTAGACCGCTATTCTCCGGCTTGGAGTGGCACCAAATTCCAAAGCATGGGGGCTTCTCCAGAAGTTTGCATTTCATATGCTTCTCAATTCAAACAGGGCATGAAGAATTTCTTGGATGCAAGAGCCAAAGAGATTGTTCCAGGAGGGATGATGGCTATAATTACCCCTGGTGTCCCAGACGGGATAGATTCTTCAGATATATTTTCTGCCATTTTGTTCAGTTTTGTTGAATCCAGTTTAGTGGATATGGTAAATGAGGTAATGATATCTGAAATGTTCAATTACTCTGTTTCTTTGCTACACAAAATCCATCTTTAAAGAGTATTTGATCTTTCATGTAACAGGGAATCCTAAATGAAGCCCAAGTTTATTCCTTCAACATGCCAATTTATTGTCCATCAGCTAAGGAAATGGCTTCCTGTGTCGAAAAAGACGGTCGCTTCGCCATTGAAAGGCTGGAGATGATACAGCCCATGACCAAAAACCATGATCAAATTGGAGCAGAGAAGTTGGTTCTGCACGTGAGAGCTGCATTCGAAGGAGTTTTTACCAAACACTTTGGAAGTGAAGTTGTGGATGAGATATTCAAAAGGACTTTAAAGAAAAGTGAAGCCATTTCATTGCGCCTACAATCTGCCTACATGGGAGGAACAGAGCTGTTCCTCGTTCTTAAGCGTAAATGAAGTGTTTGATCATCATCACTCAGCTGGTTCTTGATTTATGAATTCCTTTCGGAGATTGGAATAAACTTGTGTAGTCATGAATAGAAAGTTTGCATATCGATAGTGAAGTTTATGAATGTCTAAATGTCAGGTTTTAGAATCAGAGGGAGCTGTGGTTAAACAGTTAAACTCACTGCTCCCGCCGACCTTATAAAAAAATAATCTATTTTGTTGAATAGGGCAAGCTATTGTTGTTGTAACGGAAAAATATATTTACAAGGGTTCAAAGTATACAGAGGTCTAAAGCGGGATTTGAATTTAAGATCTTCGAAATTTATAAAGCTAAAAATAATTTATATTGAATCTTAGCGTATGAAATATATTGTTTAGCTCTTTTGGACACAAATTTGTTGATACAATGTTCAAAACTTTAGTTATTAATCTTTCCAAAAATTCATTTTATATTTTTCGGTCATATATTTTGTATATCTTAACTAATTTTTTTTTATTGGATTTGGTAATGAAAAAAAGAGTCATTTTATGAAATAAATATTATGAAAATGATTAACAAAATTTTGTTAGTACGAAATTGCATTTGTAAGAGATTAAAATCTTTTAAACATGAAGAAGGTAATTTTTGACTTGTAAATTTTTTTCTTAAGCATTATTAACTTCTAAATCTACATTGTGATATGAAATAACGTAATGAAAGATATACAAGAGATTACTGACTTTTAAAGAAAATTCTGGCAAGGATTAGATAAGTGTTGTTGTCTCAATAGCTGTTTAATTTTATGCATGGTATGTTTGTACAAAAATATTTTATTGTGGTTAAGTTACTAAGGTCTAAGAAAGTTGAGCACTTTGAGATAATTAAGACAAGGTGAGTAAAATTTTTTGTTTAGAAAAGAATGAAATAAACATTTCAAATTGATGAAATATGAATGAGGTGAGAAATTGTAGCCTTTTTTAAAATTATTTTGTAAAACAATAATATACAGTATTACAAAATTCTCGGGTCCACCCCAAAATGGAGCCTAAAGACCTAACTTTAGTGATTTTATGGTTCAATCACCTTTAAATTATAAGGGTATGTTTGATAACACCACTTATCGATTATAATTATTCTATTAGCTACTTTTGATTTTAACATGTTTGATAACAAATACTATACCTCTTAATGAATTAAGTGATGCTCAAATTGGAGTAAAAAATGTAAGTAAGAAAACTTAGTTTATTGCTTATTTTACAACTGTTTAATGAATTTAATATTTTAAATTCAGTATTGAGCATTTAGAATTATCAACATATATTATAATTGGGGAATATAGACGTCATTTTGGTAGTCCTTCACATGTGTGTATTTGTGTTTATCACGTTTAACTTCTTTTATTTTCACTTATTTATATTTTCTTTTCTTTTTTCTTTTTTTTTTTTTACATTAAAGGCAAAATTAATAACAAATAGGAGTTGTAACCTAAAAAGTTTTCAATGCCATTATTTAGGGAATTCCAAACATGTGATATCTTTTATTTTTTCTTTCTTTTTAATATTTATGATGGTAAAAGTAACAAATAGAATTTAAATTGTAGGTTGGAACCTAAAAAGTTTTTACTGTCATAACTCTTCCTTTATGAATTCTATATACTCATTATTTTTTGGTGATATGAAATGATCAATCATCTCCCCCATAACAATCATACGTGTTATGTTACTTGTCTCTTACTATGCCCGTTATTTTTCCATGCTCTTTTAAAAAGGCCATTAGGCACAACTCTCTTGTAAGATTTCATACTTTCTTTTTGTCTATCTGTCTTTCTTCTTCTTATTTTCCATCGTACTTTTTCTTTTGAAGAAAAGTTCCCACAAATTTGAGTGAAGATAAAAAATCACATGGTGAAGTACGTATTCAACTCTCCCATTATAAGAACGAGAACAAAGAAAAATATTTGAACTTTTTACTCTAAACGATATTCGAAATAAGCGGCCATGGTTTGTAGAATTAATTTCTGTTTTCTTTATTATTGTAGTTCTAATATTCAGTTTTTATAGAATTAAAACAAATTTTTTTTTAAAAAAAAATTTAGGTATTCACTGTCTTCCTCATGATTTTTTATGAAATCTTTTTTTCCTACGGTAAGAAATAATAATCGCTCCTCCCTCTGATTATTTATTTTGCCTTTCCATTGTTCATACATTTGTGATGCTGGAAACCCGTTGAAACAATCCAATTTTTTCATTAAGTTTCAAGTTTTCTTGAAATTTTTTAATTGTAATAATCAGAGACACTGATGAAATTAACATACACAGATAATATATCTTTTTATATATGTATATTATATATATATATATATATATGTCAAAGTAGGAAAAAAGATAAGGCAGATTATTATACCTTTCCGTTACTACATCTTTAAGAAGTTGCATTATCATGAATTCATTGATATTGTGAATGTAGTGCTTTCCCTTCCATGTTTTAACTACAATATCAATATGCTAATATTTGTAATGTAGTAATTTACATAGATATAAAAATGCTCACAATAAATTAGAAGGTCATATTAGTAATTTTGTGTACGCACGAATCGCGTCTAAACCCTCTACTAAGCACTAATTTTTATAAATAGACCTAAGTCGTAAGTTAGCAATTACATAATCTAATAAACCCTACTGTAAGAGAGTAATCCACACATTGTTAGTTCTGTTAAGAAATGTATTCCTTCCTTCTCAGAAAAATAATCCACTTTTTTTAGGAGACAAAGAAAGTATATAAAACCTAAACTAGTTGGTAGGTCTAGCTTATATATTATGATTATTTAAATCACCCAAAAAAACATGCTTCTTACCGAATTTGTTAAAGGTTTTATATAAGTAAAAAGGCACTTGGACAAAAATTTCTTAAAGTCTTTTTTTGGGTTTAAAATAGTAAAAAACTGTTTGGATTAGAATTTTCTAAGAGCATTTGTTGTAGATAAAAAATAATTAAAATAATGTTTGAATTATCCATTTAACCAACATTGTTTTCTCAGTTTCTCTGATCTCAACATGTATTCAATATTTAGGATTATTAGGTAGTTTGGACATGTTCTTAAGTACATGGATTATGGAGTCCAGTAGTTTCATCAAATTTCAACACTTTCTAGTCTCTTAGTTATGCGTTATGAAATTGATCTAAAGAGTTTCTTTCTGATTGGAAGGCATGATTAATTTAGCCTTTTTTTTTGGAAACTAGAAATGAGAAAATTACACGTTGTAATTTGGGGTCGTGGTCTGTTCACAAGTGTATTGTTTAATGAAGTTTTGCAAGGTTAATGAAGCTATCCTTTAGATCCCTCATCCTTCGTGATTGGAGAAGAAAAGCTTAAAAGAAAAGGAGATACATAATAAGAAAAAGTGATATAAATACCTACAAATTATACATAAGGATACTATTCCTTGTCACGATGATACCGAATACCCAATTTCCACTAAATTGGATTCTATTTTTGCTTTTGATTTAGGAAAACTCGCCATGCCCATGGTTCTGGAACCACCAGTTTAATAAAAAAAGAATCAGAATCGCCCCTTAATACTATGGTTCCGGTTACGGTTCGAAAAATGCAGGTTCTGGTTTGGTTCTAGTTCTATTATGCTTTAGGTTCTAGTTCTAAGTTGTGCGGTTTTGGTTAAAATATTTTTTTTTTATCAAATTTCTTTTGTTTAATGAATTTTTTTTTTTTTGAAAAGTGATGTGGGATGTCGAATAAGAAACTCAATTGTCTTATATTTTTGTTTTTAACAAAGGGACAATACTTAACCCTAAATTTTAAATGTATGAAAAATAATAATACATAGGCAGTGTTTAATATACTTACTCAAAACAAGCAATTCTTACAAACATTATCAGAATAAGAGATGGTTTGTGTCATATTTTAAAAAATAACTATGCTAAAAGAAACTAAAAAGTTACTGCTGAAGTCAAAATTCACAAGAATATTCAGAGCTCACATCACTGATGATTTAAGAGAAAATAATACCTAAAACCTGTAAAAAGAAGTTAGCACTTTGATGCTTAAGTTAGTACATGGTTTGAGAGGAAAAAACTACATTGCAGATATGTATTTTATGTGTAAAATGTGTAAAAATAAGGGAGTACATGATGTAAAATGTGTTATATTTATCATTTATGGATTTGGATTTATTTTTAATATTATAGTAGCAACTATTTTGGACTATAATCTGGATTTCTCTTTTATGAGTTGTTTTGTATTGATAACTGTGTGAGATAACGACTCTATGAATGATAAAGTAGTAATGAAGAAGAACTGCATATTTCTGGTGGTGAGAAGAAGGTGGAGAGAGAGAGTATTGAAACTTAATTTTTTGTAATTAAAAACTGATAGAACATTTGAAAACGATTCAAGAACCGGAACCTTATGATCCGGTTTGGTTCCGGTTCGAACCAAAACCTTAGGCATGCTTACTCATACCTCTTGGTCGAGACACTCTTGTACCAAAGTTACTACTACCTCCGTCCCAAGAAAATAGTTCATATTGAGTTTTTAAATTTGTATTAAAAATAGTACAACAACTAAAACTCCATGTGGACTATTTTTGTGGGACGGAGGGAGTATTATTCTTCCTATATTTAACGTTTCATACATTTCTTTAGTTTCATGTAGTGAAAGAAAGACGGATTCGCTTTGCACATGTTACCACATTGAACCTTTGTTCTTTTGCATCCTCTGCAATTCTAGTTAACTCAGAAATTTTTTTATTTTTATTTTTTTTAAGAGAACCAGGACGGTACCTGGCGGGCATCCCTCGATTTTATTAATTTGAAAAAAGAGATTATACAGGCGGTGCTTAAGACTTACCCAAATGGAAGAGTCAGTCGTACAAAGATTTTCTAAAATCCCATGACTGCTCCGCTTCTAGTACTAAGAGTATGCCTTACAAAGATTGTACTATAATCCCATGGCATCTCTGTATTTAAAAATTATGCTAAGAGAGAGTTTTACAAAGGTTAAACATAAACCCCATGACTTCTCTCGTTTCTTAGTCTACTTTACCTATTTTCTAGATTACATTCACGAACTATCTAATCCTTAAGTATGGGAAAGCACATTTATCTAAATACCACTTACCTCTCAATAAGTTAGGGAGATCCTCCTGCAAATCATAAGAGTGATAACTCCCCTGGAGGATTTTTTGGCTAAAGCACCCTCCATACTGTTCACTTCCCGATAGATATGAACTATTCTCGAATTGGAAGTGTTCAACATTTGTCTGATCTACCTAAACTTTGCATTATAGCGCCAGGGTAGAGCTTCCTTGTTCTTGAGAATTTGCACTATCGTCGTGCTATCCGTTTGGACTACCACTTGAGATATTCCTCTTGTCTCGCAAGCCTTTAAACCATTAAGAATGGCTTCAATTTCTGCTTCAAAACTCAAAGCTTGTCCCATATATTAATATTCCGCTCTTATAAATTTGCCTCTTTCTCCTCGCAAGACATATCCCCATTCAGCTTCACTGGGCTGACCTAGAACTGACCCATCTGTATTCAAAATTATTTCTCCTGGCTCTGGTGTTTGCCATCTCAAAGAAAGAAATGTTTTGGGCTTTGGAATCAAGACTTTTGCATTAAAAATCCTTTCTAAGCTTTGCTTCTCTTCATTTGTTCTTGCTCGAAGCTTGTGGACACTCATCATTAATTATTAATAAAAAATTAATTGTTCTTTTCATTAATTACTCAGAGATACAGTAAGTTTTTTTTTAAAAAAAAATAATTGTTTTTTGGACCATAAAAGTTTATTCATTTTAAAAAATTATTAAATAGTTGAAAAATTAATAAATTTATCAATTTAAAGAATTTTGTTAAAGAAAAAAAATCCTTGTTAGGTTATGTAATTTTCAGTCATTTTCACATTTCGAATAAAGTAGATATCGAAACTCTTCCCAATACTAATGCACATATATAGTTTACATACTAAAAAAGAGCATTAGTAGTTTCATATTTATTAAATAATCATAATTATTATGTTATTATTTTTATTTAATGCAATTATTACTTTATATTATCGTTGGGACCTATAGTTATATGCAGGATTTTATGAAACATTATTACCTTATTATTTAATCGATTTTATTCATTTTTTTTATTGGTCACAAGTTGAGACCGGGAGAAATTATTAACTGCTTGAAATTATTAATTTAAAGATGTTTTACTATAATTCTTAAAAGTTTGCTCTCAAAATTAAAAAATTCCTCTCAATATATCATTTGCCTTGCAATTTTTTCAAAGAAGAAAATTAGTGAAGAAGTTTGGTCGTATAAACGCTTTGTTATGGCGAGAAGGAGAAGATTTAACATTAGATGTGTTCCGAATTGACTGTAAATCTTGTGATTAATTATTTTTCATTAATAAAATAGTTTAATTAATATCACTACAAATTCTATAAAAAGATTGGTCTTAGTTAAGTTATAAACGAATCCAAATAAGGAAGAAAAAAAATGATTAGTTATAAATCATAATCTAAAAAATGTCTCATCTACTTATAGAAAATATATACTAGAAGTTACTCAACTGAAAATTTCATGTAGGGAACTATAAAGATGAAAAGAATGAAATCTGATTATCCGTCATTGTAAGCAAAAAAGGTAGTTCGGAATAATTGTGTTGTCATAATGAGAATTTTTTTAAAGAGAATTTGTATATATTGAAACACAAATGGATTGGTAATTGCTATTAAAAAAAATAAATGTATATATTTTCATTCAGGAAAATGATTTATCATGTCTCTAATGTAGAAAGATACTCAAAAAAACAAAGAAATGAAAAAATGCAACAAGAACGTACTTTAATTAATAAAACTGGAACAAATTTCTTCATCTTAAAGATGATAAGGAATTACACAACAAGACCAACAAAAAAAAAGCGCTTAAATTGCGCTTACAAGAAAACCTAGCAAGTTATAACAACATCCGAAGGTATAAGACACCAATCATACGAAAACTAAGTGAACTCGTCCAAACTCTGGAATTTATTCGGATTTCAGAAATATCCATAAGGTGAATTCCACTAACTAGTTGTATTTGGATTAGCAAAAGGAAATGATAAATCATTAGCTCCAGATCCAGATGGTCCCTGATTAGCAGCAAACAAGGGTCCATTCTTAACTGATATGCTGTCTTTTGAAAGTATTAGGCCCGCAAAATTTGAACCTGATGGCATAGATGGATAATGAATGTTTTGAGGTAGTGATGGTGGTGGGTGGGGTTCATAAGCTAATGGGTCATTATTATGATTATTTGGCTCTGGGATGTTGAAATTTGGAAATAAATTGGCATTTGGAGGTAGTCATTTTTGTGCTTGAATCTGAACTCTTTTGTCCAGCTCCTCATAAGCAATTTTCAGCTGCTCGAGCTGTTCCATGCTGAGCTCTTCAATAGGAGCTTGCCACCAATACTGATTCTGATTACCTCTCACCATCTTTGTAAATTCTCTGCTCCTTTTATTCACGGCGTCCAAGTGATCTTCCAGGGCTCTCAATTCTTCATTGAGGCTAATCTCGTTAGCCCTGCGACGTGTCTGGTTTGCCTCGTCGATTGAGCCCTGAGGACCAATAAAATGAGGCACTTGAGTCTCATACTTCTCTAAGATCTCACTCACACTGGGGGAGCCAAAAGAGTAAGCCTTGCTCCCCGGAGAAAAGACCACAATAGCAACCTCTGACCCTGTTAAGGTACAGAGTTCGCTCGCTTTTTTGAACAAACCTACGCGACGTTTAGAGAACGTGACCTGCAGATTATTTTCGTTGGTCATTTTGACCATATCTACCCTCTGGCGACCCCGATTCATTTTTGCAGTAGCCATTATTTGCTAAAAAATATATATTTTATGAAACTATCGAGGAGGTTGATGGTATGCTTGACAAACGAAGAAGAAAAGACTGGGATTTTATAGAGGTGAAGTATGAGTTACATGACAGTCGTCAAAGTCAAAATTTTAATCATAAAAATCAAGTGTATCAAGTTCATTTAAAAACTATCCAATTTAATAACTATATTTTAGGGAGTGCGAATCTTTATACAAGGTAAATTACGCAGTTAGATAATGTATTGACTTAGTTACCTAGTTTCGAACTTTTGATTGATGTTCCGACCTGTATTAGTCAAAACATGACATTTAGGGAGCATGAACTTTTTGGAATGAAATGATCTAGAAAATTATGTGAAATGAATTAACCATGACATGAAATGCAACTTTTTTTTTAATAACTTAAGAAACTTTTGGGCTTTTGTTTTTTAATATTTTTTTTCTTTTGGGTCTAGTCATTCTTGCAACCATTTATTTTATGAATGTAGTATCCCACTTACTTAAATCTTATCTTTGTAATTTTTGCTTTGATGGGTTTTCATTTTTGTTACTCTTAGGAGTTTAGTTGAATTAATTTGACTTAAGATTACAGGTTGACTAATTAGTCATCAATATAAAAACTTATGTAACATAGCTATACGGCTTTACCAGTTGATTATAACTAATTAAGAAAAAATACAATAAATTAGAAGAATGTCACACTTCAAAAAGATGAAGATTTTTATCTTGCTTGTGACAAGGAATTTCTGAGTCTCAAAAGAGCAATTTCGTGATTAATGTATAGAACAACGATATATTTTACTCATGTTTCAGTTCATATTTCACATTTAATGTATAGTTTTCAAACAACAAAGCAAAAATAACCAAGCAAAGCAAAAATAACCAAGCAACGGAAGAATAACTGAGCAAAGCCAATGTTATTATCTACTGATTGTAAAGGTTTGTCCTGAAATACTTTTTTTTGCCGGTTGTTGGAGTTCCAAAATTAATTGAGTTCTCTAATTTTGTATAAATAAATAAAAAAATTCATATGTCCTTTTCATGGATCTTTTAACTATTTTGTCATTGGCTTTTTGTTGTCATAAGCCGAGGGAATATGATGCGTAGATTGATTAGCTAATGAGAGTAATTCGTTTTCATGCTCCTGCCTTTTTTTGGGTTATTGTTCATGAAAACAAATAAATAAATGAGTTGCAGGGGAAAAAATAACAAGGGAAATTTTTGATAAAACAAAATTATGTTTTATTTTTTAAATTGAATAAGTAATTAACCGCCCCTTATTCAAATTATATAGAAGTTATGCCCCTTCTAAAAAATATTTTTCATTGTCTGCCCATAATCCAAATTCTCACTTTTTTTTTACTAATATCAATTACTACTATTGAGTTTAAAAGCAATAAAGTTTTTATGACAATAGTTTAATATGCATAATATACTATATTGTATCTAAATCAAAATTTTCAAAGGTTTTTCAATATGATATGCTATAAATTGATTTGCTGACGATTCTATTTCTTTGGTTCATTAGATTATTATCTTGACCTCGGTGATCCTGAATACACTTGCGAATTTTGCGGTGCATGGATATGCTATAACGAAAAATGTAGATCCAACAGGCAACCAAACACTCCGGTGTTTTCCCTTTGTTGCATGAAAGGCAAAGTTCAATTGCCTAAACTCAAGGAGCCTCCTAAGTTTCTACTTGATCTGTTTTATAATGAGCACCCTAATAGTAAACTATTCCTCCATAATATTCAGGCTTATAATATGATGTTTTCGTTTACGTCCATGGGTGGATAGATCGATAACTCTATTAACAATGGACGAGCTCTGTGGGTTTTCAGAATGCAAGGTCAAAACTATCACAGAATGGATAGCTTACTTCCATATTGCGGTAAATCTCCTCAATTTTCATAGATTTACATATACGATACGAAGAATGAAGTGCGCAACAGGCTATTTGCGTTAAGGTATGTTTATTTGATATATGTTCAATTTTTTTAAACATATAATAATTTCTTTAATCATTTGTTAATTGAATAAAGTATAATAAGTCGAATACATTTTAATGTTAAAAAATTAGTTTGCAATTTAAAATTTATAATTTTGAACTATTTAATTATCCTAATTAATTCTATATGTTCAAATATGGAAATACGTATTCGTTATTAACTGCGTTTTTTACAATGTATATGATAATAATAATCTTAACATTTAATTATACGAAACATAATTTCATGTATGTTTCATATGTTTATAATTATTGATGAAAATAATAATCATTTCTTTTTACCATAAAAGGTCATCTGGTCGTGAATCTACTAGCGACACGTTAGATGAAGGTTTGGTCAGTGATTTGATGAATATTATTGATGAGCATAATCATCTAGCCAAGAGTTTTAGGATGGCAAGAGATACTATTGATGCCAATTATGGTGAAAAAGTAAGGTTGAAATTGATCGGAGCTAGAGAAAAGAATGGTAGACAATATAACTTACCAGAAGTATCAGAAGTGGCAGCACTAATTATTGGGGATGGGACATAGAATCTGATTATAGAGATATTGTCATACAACATAAGTCTGGGAAATTGGAACGAATAAATGAGTTGAGTCCTTCATACCTTACTCTTCAATACCCAATGTTACTTCCATATTGAGAAGATGGATATCATACATGACTTACACTTAAAGATAAACCGAGCATCGAGTTAGGTCCTGATAATAAACATAGGATCAGAATGAGTATGCGAGAATGGTTTGCATATAGATTATTTGAAAGGAAGGATGAAAAGTCTCTTATATTAAGCGCCAAAACACTTCTCCAACAGTTTGTGGTAGATGGATACAACATGGTAGAATCCGAGAGATTATACTATACCAGATTTCAACCAGATGACTTCAGGAGTGAGACCTACCAAAAAATAACAAGTGCCATTGAAAAGGGAACGAAGAACTCTTCTGAAGTGGGTCCAAAAGTGATATTACCTTCTTCGTTCACTGGAGGGGCCAGGTACATGAGACAAAACTATTATGATGCAATGACATTATGCAAGGCATACGGGACATCCTGACCTGTTTATAACATTCACGTGTAATCAAAATTGGCCGAAAATCAGAAGGTATTGCAAGAAACGTGAACTGAAGCCTGAGGATAGACCTGACATAGTGTGTAGAATTTTTGAGATGAAGCTAGAACATTTCATCAGATATATCAGGGAAGAGGAATTGTTCGGCAAAGTACAAGCACGTAAGTTTTATTTTTTTTAATAAAAATATTATATTGTCATTATCTCAATGAATCATTTTATGTGTTAAAATTTCTTATAAGTTTTTCTTACTGTTATGAACAGTGGTATATATAGTTGAGTTCCAAAAGAGAGAATAACCTCACGCCCATGTGTGTCTATTTATACACCCAGAAAATAAAATCAAGATTGTAGATCAAAATGATAAATTCATAAGTGCGCAGATCCCTAACAAAGATGAAGATCCAAAACTATATGAACTTGTGAAGGAATTCATGGTTCACAGTCCTTGTGGATAAGAAATAAAAAATTCCCTTGCATGCAAAACGGAAAATATTCAAAAAAGTTCCCCAAAAAATTCGCCGAGAGGACCACGATTTATTCTGACGGATTTGCAATTTATGCAAGGCCAGGTAATGGAGTAACAGTTGAAAAGAATGAATTCCCACTAGACAACAGGAGTGTTGTGGGGGTATAATGGGATATTTCTGAAGACATTTCAAGCACACATCAACGTTGAATGGTGCAACCAGTCTAGAGCAATTAAGTATTTATTCAAGTACATTAATAAAGGGCCAGACAGAGTAAGTTTCAAATTATACCAGGGCAATGACTTAAGTCAAGTTGATCCTTCTGATGAGACACTTGATGAGATTAAGAAGTATTATGATTGCAGGTATGTTTGCATTTAACCAAAAAAATTTTCTATTTATAATATATTAGAATTCGTAATTCTCAACTTCATGTACTAATATTTAAATTGCTTAAAATTGGGGAAATTTATTATGTCTGGTTGCAAATAATATTGCAAAAAATTAGCATTAAATGTAGTTAATATATTACATATTGGTGCATGAAATAAGAAGTTTCACACTCACATACTATTTAATTTGACTATAGTATAAGTTGCAATCTTTTTTAAAACATATTTCGTGATAACATGTTCTTTTAATGCCCTGGTGATGTCCCTAACTTCCATACATTTTCATACTTGATGATATGATAAAATTTAACAATTTTTTATAATATGATCGTATTTAATATTATAAGCACATTAAATTTACAAGAAAAAATGTTCAGTGGTCCTTTTTTTGGGGGAAATAAAAATTACAAAATATTAGTAATTACATATCATATACCTATCACATTTCAGATTTAACGTATTCTTGTTTAAGGTGCTATAATATAGATTTCACACATATTTACTAATCTTGTGTTATAATATATCTAAATCAATTATACAACATATTATTAACTATTATAACATTATCATATTATATTTTGTTCCTAGGTATCTTTCTGCATGTGAAACTGTATGGAGAATATTCAAATTTGATATTCACTATAGGTATCCTCCAATTGAAAGGTTACTATTTCATCTTCCCAATGAACAATCAATCACATACAATGAGGATGAATCGTTAAAATTCATCATCTCCAAACCAACCAGTAGTTTTTCAAAATTCTTGTCGTGGATGGAATGTAATCGTATATATGAAATGCAAGGAGTCTTAGTTACATTGAATTCTCATCCAAATTTGTTTGGCATCAAGATATAAGGGAATGGATGCCAAGGAAAATGGGTAAACCCGTTGGAAGAGTACATCATGTTCCTCCATCTGCTGGTGAAACTTATTATTTAAGGATATTATTGAATAAGGTCAAAGGGCCTACCTGTTACGAGGACAATCCGTACATTAAATGGGACTACTTACAATATTTTTAACGAAGCTTGTTATGCAATGGGTCTA